CACAAATATAATACGTATAAATAAATTAACTTACATTGGACGCCTGTTTGTGAGTCTGCAAGCAGTATCCACGATAAATGCAGGTACGTAATGTAAGAGCCAGAATAGAATTGTGAACAAGAATTTATGCGTAGTTTGTATAGTAAAGCAATACCAAATCGCACGTGATGTAATTAATTTCCTTCCAAAAGTCTCAAGAACATTGCCAAGTTCCGCTGAAAAGGTAACTGTATTAAGTAACAAAGAAATATAAACAATCGTTACAGTAAGATTGTATTAGAAATTTTACAAAACAGTCATTTTTTGACCAAGACGCCTAAAGCATTGCTAAAAAGAATAGTTCAGATGTGGTATTGCGAGTCCAAAAAACTCTAAGCAACCGAGTAATTAATCATTTTAAATCATCAGTAGTTGCTGACCGATGCCATTGGGGAAAACATCATTTCATTCACTACCATAACGTGTGCATTTTTCAACTGTTTCCATTGTCCAAAAACTTGTACAAACACATATTGATATTCCAAAAAAAAAACAGAGATTACGAGAAGAAATTACCACGCGCAAGAAGTCAAACTCGTATATGAGACTATCCATGTGTAAACAAGGCCTATATGCTCCTAACAGTTTTTTATAGCTATCTGAAGTTAGTAAAATTCATACATACACCATAACAACGGGTTGCGATTATTCGTTATGTTGTAAATTTTGATATTGTCTTTATTGGTTTGTGCCTTGGCGGTCTCACAGGCGGCGACGAGCGTCGTGTTGGTGACCAGGTCAGCCGGCACCAAGCTCAGCACGATATTTTGACGCGTTCTCAACACGTGAATAATACCAGTCATCAAACCCAAAATAAGCTGGAAAACAGCACTTTATTATACATTTGTTGAGTATTCAGATTCAGGGATGCAATGGTTCGGTCCCAATCGTGTTTTTCTATTTTTTAATTTCTATATAAAACATATCGTCATCCCTGCCATTATTTTCGACAAAACAGAGTTAACAGTATATTTTAAACGGGGTTTTTGGCCTCAGAAGCCC